TTGATGATGCAGCGGGGGGGAGCCGACACCTGCAGCACCAGCCGCAGGGGAGCGTCCACAGCGGGACTCTGGGGAGGGCAGGTGAGCAGGAGGCACAGAGCTGGGCAGGGCTGTGCTCTGCCCCAGGGGCTCCCCTGTGCCTCCCGCCCCGGCCAGGTGCTTCTCTCACCAGCATGAAGATGGTCCCGAAGAAGGTGGCTCTCAGCAAAACCTCCAGGTCCTTGGGCACCTGCAGGGAGGACAAACCACCGGACGATAAGCGAAGAGTTGCTGTTGATCCCAGCAGAGCTGCTCCCTGGATGGCACCTCCTCTGTTCTGCGGGCAGAGCCCAGCCCTCCCTCCTGCCTGGCAGCAGGCCCCTGCCCACAGAGAGCTGCCTGTGCACAGCCGGGTGACTGGCACTGCCTACCTTCTCCCCCTGGAGCTCTATGGCCAGCACACCCGCCTGGAAGTACGCGTGCATGGCCGAGTCAAAGAAGTACTCAGAGAAAGCGACGTAGACCATGCGCTCGGTCTCCTTGATCACCGGCTCCACCGCGTGGTTCTCCAGCTCCTGGTTCTCTCTTGCACGGGGGAAGAACATGCCCTGGGCCGAGAACAGGAGACATTTCTGCAGCCATAGCGCAGCCCACCCCGCTCGCTCTGTGGTGCCCAGCATGCAGGCTGGCACAGCTGTTCCCATGGGGACTGTGGGAGGGTCGGCAGGGCAGGATCCAGTGTTCACCTTGAAGTCTAGGTCAAGGGTGTCCGTGGAGACGGCCGGATCCCGCAGGAGGGAGTAGTCAATCCCAATGTGCTCATCCACATAGTTCCTCACTGCCAGGGAAGATGTGCTGTCGTGACCAAGCTTGCGGGCTGCCTGGCAGCCCGATGCCCAGCTCTGCCCTCCCCACAGTGCGTGGGGTCAGGTCCCTTCCCCCAGGGCACCACTCACCCGGCACCGTGTCCAGCACTGAGTTCAGCAGCACCAGGCTGGCGTGCTCCAGGGATGGGCAGATCTGAAAGGCAAGGGGCCGGGCTAAGAGGAGCATTGCTCCAGGTGCAGATGAGGACCTGGACCCTCTTCCCGCTGCGGGGCAGGGCAAGGCCAGGCTCCCCTGTGCTCCATTGCCTGTCATACCTGCTGGCTGAGGAGGAAGCGCATCCCTGTGACAATGAAGGTGCTCAGGAACTCATAGATCTTCCTGCAGGACACAACAGCAGCTCTGCGGCTGCCTGCCTTCCCCTGCAGCTCCAGCCCTGCCCCTCCATCCCCATGCGAGCACACAGCCTGGGCTGGGGAAGTCCCAAGGGTGCAGAAAGGGGGGCCGGGGAGCCAGGCGCAGGCGGAGCTGGCCCGGCAGAGGGACAGGGCTGCTGCAGTGGGGTTGGGTGTACCTGAGTGTGCCGGAGAAGCCCGCATGCATTCTGGCAATGGAGGCGTTGCAGGTGATGTTAGAGATCTTCAGGCGCCCAGCCTCATCCTTGGCCAGCTGCAGCACTGTGCGGATGTGGACACCATCCGCAGAGGCATTGATGGACCCGATGTCATAGCTGAAAGCGAGGAGAGCAGATGAGAGGAGCACACAGCTCCTACCAGCTGCAGGGCAGGACAGCGAGGCACCCAGCGGGCATGGCCAAGCAGTGGCTGTGGCCCAGCCACGGGGTAGGCTGGTGCCCGGGGGAGCAGGAGGGGGAGGTAGCTCACAAGAACCAGTAGAGCAGCTGTCTCCGGAAGCGCAGGCTGATGGAGGCATTGTTGATGTTGAAGACAAGGTGCTGCTGAGGCTGGAAGTACAGGTCGGAAAATGCCAGCTGCAGGTCCACCACCTTGACCCTGCAGGGGAAGGGATACAGAGATGGTTGGACGGACAGATGGACGCGGGGAGCCGTGTGCGTGGGGAGCGGGCAGCACTCACTGGCTGATGTTGTAGTGGAACTGCCCCTCCTTCCCGTGCAGGTCTGACACCGTGATGTTCTGTAGCTCCTGCTCCACGAAGCGCAGCCCCTCCTGCTTAACTGCAAAGCAAAGCAAGCCTGGGCTGGCCACCGCCAGGCTCTGCTGTTTTCCCCCCAGCCAGTCCCCCAGCTCCTCTCCAGCCGTCCCACGTGCAGGCAGAGCCTTACCCGGGTGCAGACCCCAGGAGCAGCGTCCCAACCTGCCTCTTACCCAGGCCCCAGGAGCAGGGTCCCATCCGGCCCCTTACCCAGGTCCAGCCCCTTGGAGGTAATCCGGATCTTGCAGCCAGGTGGGCTGTGTGAGGCCATGACCAGCCAGGGCAGGAGGAGGAGGAGGAGGAGGCGGCGGCTGGCGGCAGCCATCTCACACCTGGAGGCAGAGGG